CAAAAGCAGCTCCAGGAGAGGGCTCTTGCCATCATCGAGCAGGAAAGGGTCGCCACTTTGGAACGTGAGCTGTGGAAGCATCAAAAGGCCAACGAGGCCTTTCAAAAGGCCCTACGTGAGATTGGTGAAATCGTTACGGCTGTCGCCCGCGGAGATCTTTCCAAGAAGGTCCGGATGAACAGTGTCGAAATGGACCCCGAAATTACCACTTTCAAGCGCACCATCAACACCATGATGGATCAGCTGCAGGTCTTCTCCAGCGAAGTGTCCCGTGTCGCCCGTGAAGTCGGAACCGAGGGTATACTCGGTGGCCAGGCTCAAATCGAGGGTGTTGATGGAACTTGGAAAGAACTTACTGATAACGGTGCGTTTTGATATGCTTGATATCATTGTGATGCATCTTCTCGATATAGCGCTCAGACATACTGACTCCTTACTAGTGAACGTCATGGCTCAAAACCTCACTGATCAAGGTATGACACCTCTGTTGTGCAGGTACCGTATGCAAATCAGCTCAGCTAACGCTCATATAATAGTGCGTGAAATCGCCTCTGTTACTACCGCCGTAGCCCACGGTGATCTCACCAAGAAAATCGAACGCCCTGCCAAGGGAGAAATTCTACAGCTGCAACAAACGATCAACACCATGGTAGACCAATTGCGAACTTTTGCCTCTGAAGTCACCCGCGTCGCCAGAGACGTCGGAACCGAAGGTATCCTAGGCGGCCAGGCTGACGTCGAAGGGGTACAGGGCATGTGGAACGAACTGACTGTCAATGTGAATGCCATGGCCAACAACCTGACTACACAAGTGCGAGATATCATCAAGGTTACCACGGCTGTCGCAAAGGGTGATTTGACGCAAAAGGTGCAGGCTGAGTGCCGCGGTGAAATTTTTGAACTGAAGAAAACGATCAATTCTATGGTGGACCAACTCCAACAATTCGCGCGCGAAGTAACCAAGATTGCCAGGGAAGTCGGAACCGAAGGACGACTCGGCGGACAAGCGACGGTCCATGATGTGCAGGGTACATGGAGAGATCTGACGGAAAATGTCAACGGCATGGCTATGAATTTAACAACACAGGTGCGAGAAATCGCAAAGGTCACCACGGCCGTTGCTCGAGGTGACCTTACCAAGAAGATTGGGGTCGAGGTACAGGGTGAAATTTTGGATTTGAAGAACACCATCAACACCATGGTGGACCGCTTGGGAACATTTGCCTTTGAAGTCAGCAAGGTAGCCAGAGAGGTTGGCACAGATGGAACACTTGGTGGTCAGGCCCAGGTCGACAACGTAGAGGGCAAATGGAAGGACCTCACTGAGAATGTGAACACCATGGCCAGGAACCTTACATCACAGGTATGTCAGCGTTGACTTCCAGTATCGCCCACTGTCTTTTACTAACGGTCGAGAATAGGTCAGAGGGATTTCAACTGTCACGCAAGCCATTGCCAATGGAGACATGAGTCGGAAGATCGACGTCGAAGCCAAGGGCGAGATACTCATTCTGAAGGAAACCATCAATAACATGGTTGACCGGCTTTCGATATTCTGTAACGAAGTACAAAGAGTGGCCAAAGACGTGGGCGTCGATGGCATAATGGGTGGGCAGGCTGATGTTGCCGGTCTGAAAGGAAGATGGAAGGAAATTACTACGGACGTCAACACCATGGCCAACAATTTGGTACGTCATGAAAGATGCTGTTTTGTTGGGAGGCTCCTTGCTAACTGGCACGAATAGACGGCTCAAGTAAGAGCATTCGGTGACATCACCAATGCCGCAACGGACGGGGATTTCACCAAACTGGTCGAAGTCGAAGCGTCCGGTGAAATGGACGAGCTCAAGAAAAAGATCAACCAAATGGTGTACAACTTGAGAGACAGTATCCAGAGAAACACACAGGCCAGAGAAGCAGCCGAGTTGGCCAATAAGACCAAATCCGAGTTCCTCGCCAACATGTCGCACGAGATACGAACCCCCATGAACGGCATCATAGGCATGACGCAGCTGACTCTCGATACGGACCTCACGCAGTACCAAAGAGAGATGCTCAACATTGTCAACTCGCTAGCCAACAGCCTGTTGACCATTATTGATGACATTTTGGATCTGTCCAAGATCGAAGCTAGGAGGATGGTCATCGAGGAGATTCCCTACACGCTGCGTGGAACCGTCTTTAATGCGCTCAAGACTCTCGCTGTTAAGGCAAACGAGAAGTTTCTGGATCTCACGTATCGAGTCAATAACTCGGTGCCCGACCACGTGGTAGGTGATTCCTTCAGGTTGCGCCAGATTATCCTGAACCTGGTGGGCAACGCCATCAAGTTCACGGAGCACGGCGAAGTCAGCTTGACTATTCAGAAAGCGTCTCACGTCCAGTGCGCCCCATACGAGTACGCCATTGAGTTCATCGTGTCCGACACGGGAATAGGGATTCCGGCGGATAAGCTTGATCTCATTTTCGACACGTTTCAGCAGGCCGACGGCTCAATGACACGCAAGTTTGGCGGTACTGGGTTGGGTCTTTCCATTTCCAAGAGACTCGTCAACCTCATGGGAGGTGACGTGTGGGTCAAGAGCGAGTATGGCAAAGGCAGCAAGTTCTACTTCACCTGCGTTGTCCGCCTCGCCAATGATGATGTTTCGTTGATTGCGAAGCAACTCAACCCTTACAAGGGCCACCAGGTGCTGTTTATCGACAAAGGCAGGACTGGTCACGGCTCCGAGATCGTCAGGATGCTCAAGGAGCTCAGCCTCGTACCGATTGTCGTCGATTCGGAGAAGAGCCCCGCGTTGGAGAAGGCTCGGACTCAGCAAAATTCACCTTACGATGTCATCATCGTGGATTCGATCGAGGATGCTCGGAGGTTGAGAGCGGTTGACGACTTTAAGTACCTGCCTATTGTGCTCTTGGCCCCTGTGGTCCACGTGTCACTCAAGTCTTGCCTTGACTTGGGTATCACCTCGTACATGACCACGCCATGCCAGCTGATTGACCTCGGCAACGGCATGGTGCCCGCCTTGGAAAACCGGGCGACGCCCTCGCTGGCGGATAACACCCGTTCGTTCGAGATTCTGTTGGCGGAAGACAACACGGTCAACCAGAGGCTTGCGGTCAAGATCTTGGAGAAGTACCACCATGTGGTGACTGTTGTCGGGAACGGTGAAGAGGCGGTTGAGGCGGTCAAGAGGAAGAAGTTTGATGTCATTTTGATGGATGTTCAGATGCCTATCATGGTATGTTTTCCCCCTTTCTATTCCATCCCCCTCTCATGTAGTGCTTTTGACTGACAACTTGTGTGAATAGGGCGGATTCGAAGCCACATCCAAGATCCGCGAGTACGAGCGCAGCCTAGGCAGCCAGCGCACCCCCATCATTGCCCTGACCGCCCACGCCATGATGGGTGACAGGGAGAAGTGCATCCAGGCCCAAATGGACGAGTACCTATCTAAGCCCCTGCAGCAGAACCACCTCATTCAGACCATCCTCAAGTGTGCCACGCTCGGAGGGCAGCTCCTGGAGAAGAACAGGGAGCGTGAGCTGGCCCGGGCGGCGGATGCTGCGACCGGTGGCAGGAGGGACAACGCCGTGCTGACGGCGGCGTACCAACAGGCTACCAGTAGCAATGCGGGCGCTGCTGCGGCGGCGGCGATCTCGGCCGCTTCGCATGTTAGACCGTCACTGGTGGCGACGAGAGGAATGACCGCGTCCGAGGCGCTGACGGCTGGCTTGGAAAGCCCGAGTATCGTCACGGCTGACGCGGAGGATCCGTTGAAGGGTGGTGTGGGGAGGTCAAGTACGAGCTTGTCGGAACCGAATATTCTCCATCATACCAGTGCCAGGGGGCAATAGCTCTTATTGGTTGGATGCTTAGTCCTTTTTTCTTCAATTGTTTTGGCACTTTTCCATTAAGTTGACATGATGGATTGAGAGAGAGAGCAAGCGGCTGGACGGATGGAAGTTACTTACTATAGCTGCTGCTTTTCAGGGCAAGCACAAGTTACTTCGAAGCATCATCAACAAGAATAGGGTGGAAAACGAAGAGCTGCTCTGTGTGTGTGTGTGTGTGTGTGTGTGTGTGTGTGTGGTTTTGGGTTCTGGTCTTGTTTTGGTTTGGGTAACATTGGGAATGTGTTTTTCAAGGGCTTGGAAGGGGTTCTTTTGGAATGGGGGCTCTTGCTTTTTTGTAAATTTCATATCATTGGTCTGCTCTAGTCCTTTTTTTCCTACTGGCTTTTGTGTGTTTTTGTCGTCTGTTTTGTTTTTGCATGTGATACCTCCCTCACAAACACGAATTTTTATATTTTAGAAGAACGTCTTTTGGTCCTTGGAAGGTGCTGTCTCTTTTTTCGAACCCGCGTGTTTTGTGTCTCGATGAGTACATGTCTCGATCATCAGAGCACCCATGCTCTCGCTAGGTATTCAGGATCTCTTTGGTACTATATGATGAGGGTGTTGGTAAAGGACAAGGTCATTCCGAGGCTAACTGATTGAGGAAGAGATCATGTTGTTGGGAAAGGAAGGGACCATGGTCCTTTGTGATGAGCCTTCTTGAGCTCGGTTGGTTCGTCTCACAGTTGAACAGATCAATAAGGGAAGATGGGGGGGATATCTTGCGGAAATGGGATGCAAGCAAGGATCACAAAAGGCCAAGTTATTAGTCAGTCAGTTTATTTAACTTTGCCACTACAGCTACTCGTACTTGAATTTGCCTCCTGAGATATGGATGAAACTGCAAAATATCAATGTGGCAGGTTGGTGTCTGCAGCGGGTTCAGACACTCAAAGTCTCTCTCTATCCAGAGTCGATAGTGATGGTGCGGACAGTGATCCATGCAAACACGGGAGCTGATGAAAGCTTAGTCAAGTCAGTTGGGAAGATTAGAAGAATCAATAAGATTCTGTTACCCCAAAAAGCGAAACAAAAATCTCACAAAAAGGGAAAATAGTAGATGTTAGTGGTAATGGACCATCAAAAAGCTCACCAAAAAGAGTCGATCCGCCCAGGGGTCGAACCTGGAACCTCCTGATTAACTGATTTGGAATCGTAGTCAGACGCGCTGCCATTACGCCAGCGGACCTATTTGGAATGATGTGTTGAAGCTTGAGATCGGAAGTCGCGTTCAAGTTTAGCCGGTGAGTTGCTCCAAAATTTCTTTCTATCTTTGTACGAGGGCCTCTGGAAGCTTGGCATACACTTTCGCTCTTAGCAGCTACTAACTTCATCGTCCTAGAGATTCTACTGTAGCAAAAAAGTTGTCAAGATAGAGGGGTTAGTCAGAGATAATTGATCATGATTCTGAAAGTCAGAATTTGGATTGTGGAGAGAAACCGTTGGCTCTGAGATTCAAAGCTAACTGTTAAGGACTACCTCGGCTGTAACGTAAAAGTACGCAGCAAAGAAAGTGCCTTTTAGCATGACGAAATGGAAGCTTGGGGTGCCCCACCTCTCTGGCCTCGGCACGTTCCGTTGACTTGGACAGCTTCCATGATGGATGCAGCGGACTTCCCAAGTTCCGGAGTCTTCTGAATAGCGACACATTGCAAAACGACACGACACCAAGACAACGAGATACATAATCCGAAAATTACAAGATGGTACTGAGATAGGTGTGGAATGATTGTGGCTTTGCGCATTTGTTGACTGGATGGTAGGGTCTTGAGTTTCCCGCCTACGTTCTCTCAGCTTTGACAGCTGCCGGAGGGACCATCGGATACGTGAGAACAAAGTCTGTTCCTAGCGTCGTTGCAGGCACTGCCGTCGGTCTTCTGTGTAAGTTGAGTGTTTCTCCAGCCTCGGAGGTGATCGGTGCTAACGCTGTAATACGCAGATGGTCTTGGTGGCTATCGCCTCCAGAACGGCGAGCCGTTGGGCTTGGAGCTCGCTCTCCTAGCTTCAGTCGTCCTCGGCGGCGCTTCGATTCCTCGTGCGATCAAACTCCGCAAGCCCGTTCCTGTCATGCTGTCGCTTTTTGCGACGTACGGCTTGATTACTTTCGGTGACGCGTTCCGTCGCACTTTGTAAAGGGTTGAAAAGGTGGTCGGAAAGGCGTGCCAAAAATAACAAGAATAACCTTATGTACAACCCAATTTCCTGTGTGGAGAGTGTTCCTTCTATAGCCATGTTATACAGACCGCAAGAGTTGTTGGTATCGCACAATGGCCCATATCTCTAACGCTTGTGATGCAATGTGTTCCTCCGGAGCTGTGGCTGGGTGGGTGCCGCAGCCCTTGTTCGAAGATGTATGGTCGGAAGTCTGTGACTGTGATTCGGTTCGAGGAGTCGCAAGGCTTCAGAGATGCTTATGAGTTTTCGTCGACCTCTTTCCAGGCTTGCCGAATCTTATCCTTCTTGTCGGCAACGCCGCTTCGGTTGAAGCTCTGGGTCTTCCACCGTTCTGCTCTCAAGCAGGCAGAGAGCTCCTCCTTAGCATCATTGCACATTCCCATGGACTTCCAGAGAAAGCCTCGCATATGGCACTGGTCGAGTGCGATCATCAGATCTTTGCACGCTGCGAGGTAAAGACGCTTCAGCCAAGATCAAAAATGACGCTAGATTAGGAGAACCTACCAACGTTGTCTTTAGTATGGAGAAGAGGATGCATCGTGACTGCTGTAGGTGCTGAAATAATTTTTTGTTTGCGCCAATAGAGTGAACTCGTATGATGTAGTTGAAAAGTTAATGTCGATTTCTCGATGCCTTTCTGGATCAACTCAAAGGTTTGGAAGCTCGGGCCACCTGTCAGTGGATCTGCTTTGAGAGTGGAAGCGGGCCCGGGCTCCAGGCTCATTTGCACGGATCTCATAGGGCAGTCGATCTCCCAATCACTCGCCTCACTTCCCAACCGCATCCAATATCAAAGCTTTGGCTCAGCCTTTGATTTCAGATCCAGACTCCATCATGGCGACGCAAGCAGCACCAGCCAAGAGGCAACAAGGTGAGTTTAGGCCAAGAACCGACCATGGGCTAAAAACGGTAACTAACTCGACTCGTGTTAGACCTCCAAGTTCAGTACAGCACTTACAAGAACACTCTGCAGCAAATTGCGCAGAAAATCGGTGATGTTGAGCAAGAAGCCGAAGAACACAAGTAAGATTTATTTCTTGCGGTGCCTACTCAAAAATAGCTGCATCACATCGCCTTGGCTGCTTCATCATCACACCGCTCCAAACGAGGTCTTCACCGCTTCGTCACTAATACCTGATGCCCTGATTATAGACTTGTTCTCGAAACTCTGCAGCCCCTCCCAGAGGATCGCAAGTGCTTTCGAATGATCAACGGCGTGCTGGTAGAACGAACCGTCAAGGATGTGATCCCTGCGCTGCAAACAAACGCGGAGGGTTTGAAGACGGTACTAGACGACCTGGTCAAGCAGTACAAGACCAAACAAGAGGAGTTGGAGAAGTGGAAGGTACGTGAACCCAGTGAGGTCTTGGATGGATCATTCTCGCTAACTTTATATAGAAAAAGAACAACGTCCAAGTAGTACAGTCATGAGGCGACCCCAGTGACGGGGCAAAGGAATGTTATCTGAGTCCATAACCCCAGGGATCTGCCATGGCATCAAGAGTCCTGAGAGATGGAGAAAAAAAGGGTCTGACGACACTGCAAGCAATGGCGACCTTTTGAGGAAGCCCCTCTATTTGACCACCCGAAGAGCCTTGTGAGATCATATTGATCAAAAAAGCAATATGTCCACGACTTGATGACACCCAAAACATCAATGTTCATGTTTTCCGGAGGGTGTGGTGATGAGTTGTACAAATGCCTTTGCTATCGGGACTGCAGCCCCGTGGCGGGGGGTGGGTTTGCGCTGCCCAACCGGCGCTGCGGGGAGCCTTGAGAAACGGTTGGGCTGCGATGGGATTGGCATCCGTGTTTGATGGTGTGGGGCTCAACTGCTCGACCTGGTGGCAGGCAAATATGCCAATATTCAACACAGCCATGCCCAAACTTTGTTGAAAGGTGTTTAGAGAAAAATGTACCTGTCAGCCCTCAGAACGGAGAGCTTTCTCTGACACATTAGCGGTTTGTAAATCGCAGTGATTGTTAGTCCACCAGCCCCCTTGAGTTCATATCACAATTTCTGGTTTGTATTGGCCAATAAGGATAATTACAGATCTAAAACAAACATTTCCTTCCAATAAGAAGCCCCAATTGAGACTCGGTTCTGCAATTGGCTCACAAACCATTGATTTTGGACCACTAATGAAGTCCCCAGCCTCGTTGGGGATTCCCGTGTGCTTCCAGAGACGGCCGGAGAAATACAGGCCAGTCATTTGTAGTCTCACAACATCAACCCAGCCTTTCGGCCCAAAGCCGCTATCTCGGCCCCATCAGGCTCCCGCCGTCCCCTTTCCGTTCCTGCCTGCCCTGTTTACTTGTGACAACAGCCATTGTCGAATCAAGACCTAAGAGCGTACACCACACTCTGATCTTCCACCCACGCTGCGCCAAGACGACCCTTGGCGACATAGAACCCACGGCATGACCGCATGGTACAGATCTTTCACCGAGTAAATTTGAGTGTATTTGTGATGGAATGGGAAAAACAAGGAACCATGTGGCCTGGGTCCCATCAGCTCCAGGATGGGGCACATAGGCTACTGATTTTCACCGCTCTTGACGGGCTGGAAAGTGGGAAACGGAGCAGCAAGTCTGTGTTGCGGCAGGACTACCTAGCATGTGTTGTTGCTTGCTGCAGTACATAGGTCGTATCGAATGCCTACATCCGGTGGCCAAACACGAATATATTGGAAAGAGATTATTCACCAGTATCAAAATCAAAAGAGTCGGACTTGCTGCGGGCGAGTGTTTGGCAGGCGTGGTTGATAATGGTTGCTTCTTGGCGATGGAGCTTGTTGTCATGGTGCTGGGGGCACTGGGCTGACCGGGGTTGTTTCGCTTGGAGGACCCGCCTCACCCGCATTCCGCATTCCCTCTTTTCACCCGGACCTCAGATGTTGTTCCTCCCACAACCGAACCCCACGCGTGCTGCAGCCCTCTTGCATCCAGTTTTCCATGCATCACCCGTACCCAAGGCGAAGACTCTCGACACTAAACCTACGGCCAACTCAGACACCACCACTGGGAAGCCACCGCACGCCGAGCTAGTTACAAACAGCCCCGGTTTATTTGACCGTGACAAGCTTGAAGGCAAGTATCACGGCGTAACCTCTGGGTACGTATCTATCCGCACCCCGTGTTCGCATGGCATGGCATGGCATCGCAGCGCAGTGCAGCGCATCGCGTCCCGTCACCTCTCGCCTTCGTCCATTCACTCTCTCCCCCCGGGCACGCACCGCTTTCTAACGCGACTTTGCAGAAGCACTCATCCCACGAGGCACGTAACAATCTATTTCACCCCCCGCGACTGCAAGACCGCCCTGTCCGGTGCCGACACCGCAGCCAACCACTGCCATCGCATCGCCGTTTGGTGTAACCGCGACTCCATAGCACACAGAGACACTACCTGCGCGCATCACCACTGGGAAGACCTGTAGTCAGACCCGGCAACACGGAAGACTAGGATTCTGCCTACATCACGGCAACTTCCTGTGCAGAAAGCCCCATCCTGCTGCGACGTGCGCTAGAAGAGAGGGTCGTTTCTTGGTAGGACCCGCCAGGTAAACCTATCCCGCATCGCACCCCTCCCCCCCTTGTGTCCGCCTGCCGCCGTCTCCGGCCGACGCCGTTTTTCCTTCTCTCGGGCTCTCACTCTCATCAGAACTCCTGCGGTATCATCCCAGGCTCTTGTTGCCGGCTATCATCTAGTCATAGCCCCCCCGCCTGACCCCCCCTTTGCCCCCCGTTCCCTCTCCTGCCTTTGCCTCCACCCCACCACCGTCTCGCCAGCGCCCGCCAGGCTTCCATTACAGCCTGAAGATCGGGCAGGGAAAACCTGTAGGAAGCAAGCCTGGACTGGGGTGACGCGCGGAGAGGTACTGCTTGACGCAAGTCTGCTGCAGGTTAAGCCGCAAGCCGAGAGGGTCTCTTGCCTTACCACCCTGCAACGTGTCCAACGACACATCACCTTACTCTATCCCACCTGTGCGAGCTGGCAGTCCAAGGAATTTACAA